TAAAGCCAGTAGCAGTAGGAAACTATTTTAAAGTTTCTAAAAATCTATTCCACTTGCCTTACTGTATAATAAAAAAATAAAATAAATATATAATGCAAATGTCTCTACATCCAGCCAAATAAAAGAAAACTCAATATGAGTTTGATAATGTGAAATATTGCAGAACCCAGCAACCAATCATGTAGAGGTGAACCTCATGTTAACCCTGACTGTATAAAGAAGCAAACTGCCCTTTGAGGTCAGTTACATTTCTGAGCTTTTAATAACAAAAAGCTGAGACTCCTTTTACAACTAAATGCTAAATAAGACGCTAGTCTTCACTAAGAGCATCAACATCAATGTTAAAGACAGCCTATGGTTACATCCAAGCCTTTAAAATAGTTTCACCCATCATACATGAACTTCTTGCATTCAGTACCTTTTGGATCGTTTCAGCAGCGAAACGGGAACAAACCGGGATTTGTTCTGACTCGGAACCGCAGAACAGTGACTCGGATCCGACATTCTGGAGAACCTTGAAGCGTTAACAACCCTAGCTCCAACGTAACATTTAGATATATTTTAGAAAACTCTAGCTGTGGTGGATGTGGAGCCCGCTCCTTCGCCTCCTCCTCCCGCCGTTACTGCTGCTGCTGCTGCCCCCCTCCATCGTCTCTTCTTCTCGGGGTTCCTTTTGTGTTCACTCAGCGTGCCGCGTGTTGCTCGGTCCAAACGGCTGCATAGCTTCCATCACATCCTCCGGGTCCGCTGGGCTCACAGAAGCTCTCTCCCCCGGATAACCCACTCCATGGCAGGTGGTCAAGTGCGCGTGAGACTGCTCCGTCTGACGACAATAACAACAACCGTACACAATAGTTTTTGGCAGAGCAGCCGCTAGCTGCGTGTGCGTCTGTGTGAGGAAGCTGGAGACTGAGGCTGCGTTCAGGTGCTGCTCGGTATTCTCGCTTGCGCGCCACTGCTGAATATTTCACTCATAATTCACTTTAAAGGGGAACATAAATAAATAGAATGTAATAAGCTGGAATAAAAAAACACAGAGATATCAATTTACTTCCTGTTTAATCTCCCTCAGCAGGATAGTATAACAGTTTTTTTTAACAGTAATTAACATGTATTACTAATAAAAGAATGTTGCTTCAACACTTTTTATTATACTTTGTGTAATTTCTTTTATAAATAGCTTTAAATCAAACAAATAAACTGATCCCATACTTTGATCTTGTTCAATATCAATCAATAAAAATGGAAATTTAGCACATTTATATTACAGACTGAAGAGGTCATGTAGATTAATTTGCATTGTCTCTTCAACAAGCTATAACTTGTCAATTTTGGACACTTTCACTTTTCTTTATTTTATTTATGAATTATCCAAACAAACAGGTTAGTCAAGATACACAGCAAAAATATCCCTAAAAGAAAATAAATATATATATATATATATATATATATATATATATATATATATATATATATATATATATATATATATATATATATATTACATTACTAATTCTTATGAAGACTCATGTACTCATGTACGATTACTTTACTCTGTGATCTTATGCATTATGGCGAACGTGATTTGCACTGGGTACTTTTACTGCCGTAAGACTTTCTCAAACTTGCTAAATAGTATATTACCATTTTAAAAAAGTTAATTACACTTGAAACATTTTAGCCAACAATCATTGCAATCCAAACAGTTCTTCTGGGATATGAATATTGCACACATCTATACTGTGAATATATAAAGTAATTAATAAGTATTTGGACAAATAATGAAACACAAAGTTGTGTCCTATGTCTTTAGAAAATCAAATACACTTCTTTACATTTAGCTCACTTAACTAGTGTTTTTATTTTTTTATCCCATACAAAATACATACTTTTAAACATCAGAAGAAGGATCACAACCTCTAGTGCATTGACACGTGTAGCGTATACTTATTTTGTAGTGGAAAAATTTCCCACAGAACGTGAAAGCATCATAAGAAGGTGGATCATACCATGAGGAGCCAGGTAGAGGGAGGTTAGAGTTAAGGTTTAAACATTGGTATATTCCACATTTTAAAGCTCCATTTGTTATCATTCTTTTTCCTCTTGCTTCAACCATTTTTTTTTTAACTTATATATACACATTTTACTACTAAATTTTTTACAAGTATTCAGAGACAAACATATAGATAGAACATTTTACATCATGCTCTCAGATTTTGCAAGGGGTTTTGGACACAATTTGTAGAATATAATAATATCCCCCCTACTTAACAAAGTATTTTTATTTTTTTTTTATAGTTTAATATTATGATAAAGGTTATGAGTATTTTTATACATTTCCTTTTTTGTACTCTTATTCACCTTTTTTGTCATTTATTTCTTTATGTGATTTGGACTACAAGTCTGTAATAAAATTCATCTATCAAAATTGGTCTATTATTTTTGTAATAATAGTAACATAATTTCTAAACTGTCTCTACCTACTGTTCAGAAAACCCTTTTAGTAGTTTTGGTATAAGATAAGTCATTGCAGTAGGCTGCTACAAGTCAGCTGATAACCTTTCCATTCCAGATATCAGCCTAAGACTATAATGACTTATAGCACCCTACCATACTGAATAATACCCCTATCACCAGGTATGAGACAGACTGTAGTCATATTTACTTTGAGACATCAGTATTGCTGAGCTAAGTTGCTGTAGAAAAGCAAATATGTTGCATCCAAAGATATAATATGATGGAAAAGAATAAACATGTTTCTTGATTTGTGAAGAAATTCTGATTTCTTTATACTATATATAATTATGAAAATGGGGGCTGTCTGTGAAATAGTGTGAATGAAGAACAAACACCTCCTGTCATGCTGTGGCACGACCGTCTGGCCGCCTGAAAGGGCGCTGGCATTTTGTCTGATACAGATTTTTGCAGCTTAAATGAAATTTGCTTTTTTTTCTATTTTTCTTCCCACAGAGCAAATAAGATTCATTAGAGTACAGAGCGTGCTGTGACAGCCAAGCACAGCCCAAACATTCAGAAACATGCTGGATGCAGCAGAGACTGTTTGCAGGGCTGCCTTCCTCCACAGCACCCAGCGCTGTTTCCAAGCAACCCACAGAGGCACAACTGGTAGGTCGAAATAGAGGCACCTCGAGATATAGAGGAAAAAACAGAAAACAAAACTCTACGATTTTTACCCAGTTTTTTTCTTTTTGATGCAAAAGTTTACTTTATTCAGCCTTCTCTTTTTTTAACAGTAATTTGAGTCTAATCCAGCCTGATTCAAACTTAAAATCGCTTCTGTTTTTTGGCAAAAATAAACCCCTGCAACTACCTGGGGGTTCTGATTCACTGATAATCTGCCCAGTTCTTGTATCTGACCATGACAACATACTGTCTATGTGCACAAGTGAAAGCACAGAAGTCTGGTAGAAAAAAAAAAAGAAAAAAAAACAACAGCAGATAAACAGCATAAGAAAGTGATGAAAAAAAACTGACAAAGCCTTAGAGATGCATCATTTTTCTGATAATTATTCATAGCATCAAATCCTGTCAAATTTATATAATTTATATTTTTTGTATGCTAATTAATATGCAATAAAACAGAGCAGCTTTTCTTTTGGCTCTGGGAAAGTGTAATAATCATTAGTCTATTTATTATTCTTTTATTGTGTTTTATTATTTTAAGCTAAGTTCAGCACTTTGTTTTCAGCTGCAGCTGTTTTACAGTGTTCTACAAATAAAGTTTATGATAATGATGAGAATAAAAAAAATAATAAAATATGCAAAACAAACAACTCTAGTAACACATTTTTCCATAGCTTTTGACTCAAAGATATGTAGCAGACTGATTAATTTTAATTTTTCCAGCTGTGTGTGCCTGATTCTTGTAGTTTAAAAGGTTCATTGGAGGGGGTGTGAACTTTAGACAATGTTCAGAGTCCAGCAGCGGCTCTGAGACTGGTCCTGGAAGCAGGCTGGTGACACTATGACGACCTTTCTAGTGCCCCTCTGTCACATTGCAGCTAGAGCACCACGCTGATATGTGATACATCTATGCACATGAATCCACATCTCTGTGAAATGACGGGAGGGTGATAGGCTGCAGACTTTTTTACAGATGCAAATAGAGCAATGGATGCAAATTCTGTCTTTGTGCCAGTCTACTTTGGCAAAGGGCCCTAAGTATAAAAGACACAACACACCGTCCTCCCTGAAGAAGAGTGCCTCTTTATTCCAAATTACTTAGAAGCCACAGTAAAGAGGGTAAAACATTTATATTTTTCAGTAAAAATGCAAGACCAGCCAGTGTATTAAATATCCTGTACCTCCTTTAAAAATGGTAAACAGCCTGAACTTATATAGCGCTTTTTCCAAGTCAGGAGACTTGACCAAAGCACTTTACACTACATTCAGTCATTCAGTCATTCATGCACACACTCACACACTGATGTTGGCAAGCTACACTGTAGCCACAGTTGCCCTGGGGCTCACTGACAGAAGCGAGGCTAGTAGACAATGCAGGTGAAGTGTCTTGCCCAAGGACACAACGACACTGAAAGCCTCCAACCATCAATCCCTCGATTTCAGGCAAACTGCTACACCTGACGCCACTGTGGCCCCCGCTTAGAGAAACACTAATCTTAAATTACAAAAACAATTATGCGGTAATAAATATATCATAGATAAAGTTAAAGTCATAAAGTATATAATTGAATAGTGTAATTTGTAATATCATGATTTGTCTAAAGTAATTTCTGACATACAAATTGAGGACATGAATTATATGAAAAAGGGTCAGAAATACAATATATATATATACTGTATATATATACATATTTATATTTATATAGTCCCTAACCAGACAAAAAACACATACCACACTATTAAAGAAATTGAGCTAAACTTCTCTTTTCTGTCATCAAAATTTCAACATAAGACGCATTGTCTGGTCTGATCATATAATTTAATATCTCTTTGAATAAAATAGTTTTTTGTCTTACCTCCAGGGATGCAGGGTTTGCAAGGGGCTGCAGGGACTGCAGGGGCTGCAGGGGCTCAGGAGGGTCGGGCTCTGGCAAGTGGGGGACAAACTGCAAGGCAAGGCGGCATGGATTAGGGAGCTGAGTCAGGATGTGGCTCGTCACATTTTGGCCTCACAGTTTTGTCCTGTGGGCTTAGAAGTTTGTGGCTGTCACTTCCATGATAGATTCTCACCAACTGACCAATACTTGTTGCAGGGTCTTTGGAAGCATGTTGTGGTGTATTATCTTGTGTCAATAGAAAGCAAAGGTGGTCTGTCAGCATTCAGATAAATAAATATTTATCTTCTAAGATGCTAACATTTAACT